CGCTGCGCTCACTCGTGAGAGATCTTTTCAACACTCGAAGATAAATTTCGTATCTTCGCGTGCCCATGTAATATCCTCTATTTATTACACACGTAAATAAAAAAAACTAGTGCTTTTTATATTATGCCATGATAATGGATCTAGGATGTTGAAAGCCATCATTTCATACTTCTTGAATAAACATGTAACCAAACAGTATTATACCATTGACCAATTGTATCAGTTAATATTGCAGCTTAGATTGAGCTTACATGTACATGGTTACATGTACATGCTAACTGTGCCCTTGGTACTTGGTTTAGACTATGAAATATATAAATGTGATTTTAAACTACTCTATCTTTGATCCAGATCGCCCAGTTGTCATGCTTCCCGAGGACCATCCACAGAACAGCACATTAAATGCAGGACAGGCCGTGACATTTACTTGTAAAGCCACAGGAAGTCCACCTACAACTAGTTATGTATGGAGGTTCAAAGATGCAATCATTCCTGGTGAAAGTTCACCAACATATTCCAAGGCAAACATCGACAAAGATGATGAAGGAAGATATTCCTGCAGTGGTGTTAATAGCCGTGGTGAAGGACCTCAAGCTTATGCTTATTTGTTTATAAAAAGTTTGTATTTCCTGATGTAGTTTCAATGTTAGTGTATATAGACAAGCAATARATGTACGAGTCTTATGGGAATCCAGGGTTGTGTCAGTGGCATTGGTACGTAGTAAATCGACTGAGCTCTCGTCACTGGGGTCCTATGTTTCAAATTCATGGATTCGGCGTCACTTTTGAGTAGAGTTTGTTAGATCTCTCTCTAGCTATACCATGATCCAAGCAATGGCGAATCCAGGAATTCTGGTAGGACTGGTTTCAGTGGGTTCCAATGAACTTGATTGGCTTTACTAGATCTCACAAAAATATGGCTCTATGGAACCCACAGAAATACCCCTGGATCCGCCTGCGTCACTGCCAAATCTTTTTTCTCCAAGTTCTTTGGGTTTCCTTCCTRATCCTGACATAGAACAGCCCAGAGGTCATTGCAGCATTTGATAAAATTGGTTTGTTTGTTGTTACTAAATGATGTTAAGTATAAAGCTTTTAGGRCCAATACGTTTGTCTCATTTTATGCCGTCCACATATCTTTTATCATAAAACAGGCGCGAAGATTCGAAAATGTGTAAGATAATCGGGAAAATCAAACTTATTTGAATTTTTTTCGTTTAYACTTTCAGTGTCAGGTTTGGCGGTTGTCTGTGGAAGTGTTGGTGGGGTAGTGGTGATGATGATCATGATCGCTGTCGGTTGTGTGTTATAAACGCAATAATAACCAAAAGCATCGTAATATTGGTAAGTTGRCGTCAAGCCTAGCATAAATGAGGCCAGGTTGTGGGAAGGGTGGATAGCGCCATCCAAAGGATGAATCGTTATCYAGTGCGGGATAGGTTGACGCTGTTATCTAATAAATTTATCCACTGGATAAGATTTATCCGTCGAATAGCGCTATCCACTCTTCGTACAAGCGGGTCCTGACGAATATTTTCCAAGCCTTTGATAGCCTAACTAACTAATTTTTTTTGAGCAAGGTATTACTTAGCATCGCTGACATGAGTCATGTTATTGTTTTCTCAGATGGGTTATTTTTAATTTAGATTCGTATTCAGTGTCGAACAAGATAAGATAAACAAGTTTATTTTCTCTTGGCGTCAAATARCAAAGTATTTCTCCTCATTAGTTTATCTTATTTATGCCACCAAAACATGGTGGTGATGATAGTGATTGTATWATTAAGGCCCTGGCTAAACGAGGAAACATGTTTCCAGAAACATGTTTACCGCGCGCATGTTTCTTCGATGTTTCCCAGTTTAGCCACATGCGAAACATTGCTGCGTGCAACAGATTTGCTTCCAAGACGCAAAAAAATGTTTTTGCTGTGTGGCAGAAACATTTCATGTTTCCAAGACGCATGAAATCATTTTTTCCCGATGTTTCCTGACAGTTTTGCCACCTTAGGAAACATTTAGGGAAACATGTTTCCTCGTTTAAACAGGCCTAAGGGTGATGATCATCATGATGATAATAAAGGTGATGATGGTGTGGATGGTGGATGGTGGATGGTGATGGTGATTATGATGCTGGACATGTGAGGTGAAAAAGCTGGCAAATTTCTCAGCAGTTTAACTGATTGACGCTTATTTCTTTTTTAGGATATCCAATAAAACAATAAAACGCGTATAACGTCATATGAGCATGCGCATGAGGTTGGTGCTTTCTCGTCACAACAGCTACAGGGGAAAGCTTGGTGCTGAAAATAACGATTGAAACAATAAGACTACGCGAAATGTGCTTTAAAGAATAC